TATGAAAGAACACTTTGTGCCCAATCCGTAAAATGGCAGATTGAACATGCAGGTTTAGAAGGAACTCCACGCTAATTCAATCTCATCTAAATTGCAGTTGTGTAATAACTACAATCTGCTTTGGCAAACACCAAGCAAACACACTGGGATTACCAAAACATGCTTGCTGAACTAAGCACAGTATTCAACAAGTTTTCATATGAAGCCTGGAAGACAGCTATACCAGAATAACGTAGAATTTGAACTTAAATAATGCCTACTCTTCTTGCTAGTTGAGATGACAACAAATGTGGCACCAGCACATCTACATTTTCTACTTTGACAATACTTGAAACAGATGTCAGTGACTCAGAGACCAGAGTCTATCCCTACACTTGTGGGATTAAAGAGAAAGTTGAATAAATTCATGCACGTTAAATATTTTGCTATTTTTTTAAATCATCAAGATAAAGTTGAATAAATTCATGCACATTAAATATTTTGCTATTTTTTTAAATCATCACAGACTGAGGGCAAAGTAGGCCTGAGGTTAAAATAGACTATTTTCTACAACCATTTTATTAACTGATCATTTTCTAGAAAGTCTCACACAATTTCATTTCCATCTACAACAGGAGTCACAGCTCATTTCCTTTCCAAGTGCAAGTAATTTGAGCTAGCTTCCATATAAAAAATTAGTTTAGATGTGATGGAGAAACTGCTTTAAACAGATCTAATAGCTGATAAGCCTGTGGTAGCAATCTTGCTTAGCATCTGTGCTTCAACCAATAGCTTAAATTCCTGTTAAACTTAATACAGATTTAAACAGTTCTCATAATCCAACCAGCAGGCTTACCAATTACCCTGCAAAGGACAGTTATCTATAAATTGAAGACACAGGTGCATAAAACCTGTGTGCAACACTAACACAGATTAGATCAAGCTATTTACCAAATCCAGCTGACATGATGCTTGCCAAAAGACATCCATGTACCTTGCTACCGACATGTGGCTTACATGTGTGATCATGCCTGTTACAGAGGCCACAAGAGCCAGCTTGTTGCAGCCTCTAACTAAAGCCATAGGAGGGGACTGGAATTTCCTCACAACATTCTTGGCCTGCTGCCCTAAGCCATAATTACCGTTCCCATGGCAAAGATCCTGGCTTGATCACAAATCACTTCTATGCAGTCAGCCTGTATCTCACTCTAGCAAACCCCGTTTTAAAAATTAACTTCTCAAATGCCACAGAAGTGTACTTTTTTTCCCAGAAGCATCATCTTTCAAAAAAAGCTCAACTTAACCAAGAAACTACAAGACTATTCAGCACCTAAACTATTCTGAGACTTCTTCAACCACTGAAATGCAACTTAAATAATGACGTATCATAGTTCATACTCTTTCTAGTAAGTCAGTCCTGCTCAGAGACCATTACAGCCTGAAGAGATAGTGATATCTAGGCAAATTAAAGAAAGGGAAAGGAGATACAGAGAGTGATCTTGACCAAATTACTTAAAGAGGCAACTGCAGGTATCTACCTTAGAGTTCAAATACACTGCCTCCATCTTAAGGCCATACTTCCTTCCTTTTCAGACAGCAATGAAATTATGGGAAGAAATAAGTCTTAAATCATGTGTTTCTAATCTGCAGGACATTCCAGAAGGCTGTGCATCAAGAGCCCCATACCAGAATTGTAATGAGTTTCCTAAACAAATTCACACACTTTAAACCAAAGAGCCTGCGAACTAGGCTAAATGTGAAGCCCAGGAATGGCTACTACAATTACCATCCTGATTAAAACCAAGACCATCAGGCAATACAGTGCTCAAGTAGTAAGCCATGAGAACATCTGGGGACTTCTTAAGTTACAGAACCTAAATACAACAAAGACCTCAGAACAATTAATAGAAGCGGGTGTGAGTACCCTTAATATATAAATTAAGGCTGTGAGAAAATCCTAAAAAAAGGTGCCAGCACCCTGCCTTTTAAAACAATAAAGTAGAGCAAACTGATCCATACTTTCACAAAGTCCTCAATTTCAAAGTTAGACTCAGCAAGCGGGAACACTTACAGCAGGAAGACAACCAAGAGGCCACTGTAAGTTACCTTTGACCATTTGCTCAGTGCTTTAAGTTACAAGTGCTTTTCCTACTTGTCTGAGAATTCTCCAACCTTGGGACATTCCAGTCAATAACAGCACACTGAAAAGGTCTACTGGTGTCTCAGTAACATACTGCCCAAAATATGACAAGAGCTGGCAGCTCTTCAGGACTGTAATCTTCAAATACCTTAACAAACTGGATGGAGTACCGTTCCTACCTTCTTTGTACATATATGGCTAGAATGAGTAAATTTACACCTCAGATTAAAAAGTTTTCCAGCTCAAATTATCATGTCTAATTTAGAAGCTCAGCTAGCGAGCTCTCCTGTGAGCACAGCCTTCAGAACAGACACCAACAAAGTAGTTCTATCTCCACCTGAATGTCATTTCTATGACTATGTTTTATAAAGTTAGTAGATCACAAAACTGTAGATCCACAGCATTATTTTAAGTTATCAAGCAATTACAAAGAACATCTGCTTCTGAAGGGGGAGAATCAGTTAATCCTTGAAGTGATTTCAGTGATGCTCCAGGGATCAAACAAATGCTGATGGACGAACAGAGCTCCATCATTGCAGTGACTTCAGCAAAGACAACACTGAAATGCTTCTGTGGCATTACAGAAACCTTCTGCAATCCCTTCAAACTACTTACGGGCAAACTGAAGGAGGGTAGATTGAAGTGGAAGCAACACACAAAAGCAACAGCAAAATTTCAGAAGAGCTGCAGCCAATGAGGTTTTACACTTACCACAGAGGTAAGTGTTTTTAAGAAGCAATTGATACATGATTTGATTACACAGCTGTTTGAAACAGAGATGCCTGTCCCTCTCTCCATGCAAGAGTCCTGCAGTCAGGGGATCTTAAGTAATACAGAAGAAGCAGAGTATGGTGAAACTGTCTGGACATAGCTGACCTGCACACCGCCACATAGCGGATGCAGGCATAAGAGAAGCCTTCACTTTGTTCCTTGCTGTGTGCAAACAGGATTCTAACTCAACTAAGCAAATCCATGACATGTATAACATGTTACACCATAACATTAAAGAATGTACCTCTATTACATGAACTACACTGGCATATTCAATGTCTTATTTAAACATAATCAGATAACACGGCTACGTCAAAAATAATTTTAAAACTTACCTTTATCAAGATGGTTCAACTTTCCTTTTTGCTTCTGCCACTCTTTAAATTTTGATTCAACTTTCTCAAAGCCTGCCTCATCTGACTTGACAAGAAACCTCATTTTCGATGCATGCTTTTGTCTCACCACTTCCCACCCCACTGTACAACTGGCATAATCCTGGTTACAGTTCTGTCCTGTGCTAGGAGTGAAAGCACTTGGATGGGATTTCTCCCAGTCCTCATTTTAGACATCTGACTGTACTGCACTAGGGACTGAAATCACCCCCACAGATGGGAGTGATGAGGCACACAATACCACATCCTGAAGCTTTTCAAGATTCACTGAGGACTACAATTACAGTTTCAGAAGCTTCCTGGTCAAATTTAGTTATGCAAAACCACTTCTTAAAGCTGCATAAACCTAAAGCTGCAAATTACACATTGTTAAAAAACAACCGAGGGGACTTTTACCTAGATTAATCAGTTTACTAGAAGATGTTGTATCAAACTGCTCTACAGTGGTCAAGGGATGACTTAGTCCACCTTTTATAATGGATTGCCCAGGCTCAAGCCTTTCCTCCTCCTCCGATGGCAAACTGAACTCCCTGCAGCAGATAGCATTCGCAACCAGAACCAGACACTATCATGGCACTACGATTAATTCAAATTTCAGATTCTCATACGAGGAAAAGTTAAAAAAATCTTTTCCCTACCTCCAGGTGTTTAATGCTTCTCAGAAACCCTAAAGCACTAACAAACATGTCTATGCTTAACAGCAGCCACATCTAATGTTGTACTTCCAATACAAAAAACTATTTGCTGTCTAGGAGCAAATACTCTCTAATGCTCCCACTTCACTTACATAGACCTAACAGAGCTCACACTACCTGCACTCAGCTCTGCTTCAAGTTAGTCCTATCACACACTTGCATCACTTCACCAGCCTATTCAAGTTGCCACACGCAACTCTGTTTCTTAGTTAATAATGAAGACGCTAACAACACACAATTCGGGCCATTAAAAAAAGCTGTCAGATGACTACTTTGAGGGCCAATGTTCACACATACTATCTTACAAAAAGAACTCACAGGGCTGAACTTACTGTAATCCTGATCCCAGAGCATTAGCTACAATGTTCGCAAGGTAAAATGAAAAACCTTTAATACATGAAGGAGTGCCAGTCTATGCTGCACATTCCAGTTTAACATTTCACAGGAATGAGCTTTTATCCTGAGAACACAACAGCCTATTACCACGCACAGCAGATAAGGAGGCTCCTGTCAGCACTTTGAGTTTCAGGGCTAAGTCTGCACTTTCAAAACCTGAGACTAGAAGGGTAAAGGTCGTATTTACTGTACTTGCAAGAGAAAAAAATCAACAGCTAAACACTCAATTTTTTGTGGCAGAAGGATTTTTGACATATAACTGAACAGGAATTCACATAAACAAAGGAAATAAAGTTCTCAAAAGAAAAAGGACCAATTTCTCCATTAAGAAGCATCGTCTAGCAAATAACAAGCATGGCTTGACATTTTAATAGGGGAAAGGGCTGTCTCTAAATGCAATAAAGTTCTTTTCTGACAGTTGATAATCAATGTCCAAATGCCAAGAGCTAAATGCTGAGCCATAATAAAAGTTTTAAATGCACATGAAGCTAAATTACCTTCTGGTTAAAACCAATTTACATGGTACCAGAAATAACCCTTTAAAGCCGAAGATCTACATTTGGTGAGGCTAAAACTAGGTCAGATGCTGAGCAGTGTAAAAAGAGAGAAAAAGTGAGAAGTGCCTACCTTTGTACCAACTGTTATATCTTGGACAATGCTGTAGAAAAAAGAAAGAAAAGGATTAAAAAAGTTAGATAGGTTTGCCACAAATATCCAGCATAGTTTACAGTAGTAAGAAAAAAGCAAGTCAAAGTGCACAGTTGTCTTTGCAAGTGAGCCAAGGACAGTTTATACAAAGAAAAATTATTAGATGGTGATGGTGGAGACCCAAGACCCAGCAGTGCTAGAAAACTGCAGCTCTTCCACTTCCTATAGCAGAGCTTGCTCTTTTTGCAAGGGTACCACAGGGGACTAAAACCAAAAACCCACAGTTAACACAGCCAAGCATTCTTCAGGGCAAAGAGATGCGACTAGAACGCCACCTCTGACTAAACCATGAGCAACAGTGTCAAGAGTCAACTCCATCACCAATATTCACTTCTGCAATTCTTAACAACCTTATAGTCAAAGGAGTAACCTCTGCTAGGCTGTGAAGAGGCTATCTCTAGTGAAATTATCAAGTCAATAGTGGAGACTACTAATGCCAGAGCTCCAATGGTACCACAGACAGCCAGCACACACCACACCGAATTTGGGCTGTTCTCTCAGCCAAGCCAAGAGTGTGTGCCAGGCTTAAAGCAGCCCTCCAGCCACACTAACACCACTGGAGCCAGACCAGCGCCAGCTAACAGAGCGCAATTAGAGAAAGCAGCGAAGAGGTCCAGGCAGCTCCCAGATCGGGGTATGCCGGTAAACAAGATTCCTCTATCAATTCTCTTCTAGTTAGGAAAACAAATAGTATTCTTCCCTAACACAGATCGGAAAGAAAAAAGTTATTAAACTCTACCATATAGGCTTAAACCTCCCAAAATGAGACTTCCTGATTAACTAGCATGAAAAATAGCAACTCATGCTAGCTCTTATCAGCAGCGAACATTATATATCACAACATTCACCTACTTAGAGCAACTTCTTTCATTGATGGAATCAGAATGACTTATCTAGGGCTTGGCTTATTGTACCTGGGTAATCTTCCAGAGTATTACAGTACCTACATGTTACTCTTTTTGTGGGAGTGCTCAAGACAGTCTAAGGATCTCAGTTATACCCTTGTACTGAAGACTGTATTTTTTATGAACTCCAAACCACTGTAAAGCAGCAATTGAGAGTAAAATTGAGAGCAGAAATGATCATTTTAGATTGACATATGTGCAGCACTGCCTGTTTCAACTCCTACCTTTCAAATAGCTGACTATAACTTCAGAGTAAAGGATCCGAAAGTGCCTGGCTAACAGACCTGCAGCAACTTTAGGGAAACATGGCAGAGAAGCAGAAGGCAGGGCAGTCATTCTGCAAACAGCAATATGAAATCTGAAGTACTCAAGAACAATTCTACACAGTGATTTAATGCTAGAGAACTTGCATTTACTAGTTCTTCCTTCCCTACCCTCCTGCAACAATTTGTAACTTTTCAGGGAACTACTAAGATCGAGCAGTATTTAAATCATTCATGTTCACCAGCTCCACAAATAAGCCGTAACACAAGTATAAGCCAGCTCAGCTCCTCATACTTCCTCCTCAAAACCAACCTGCCATGTCATCATAACCCAGCAATTTACAGCTGGAGTTACAGTCTGATCCAATGGCTGCTGCCAGGAAGCCACACGATAGTTTCTTTTTTTTCAAGTGAACTACTTAAAGAACGCCCTGTATGAAAACGCCGGCTTTGCAATCCCCTGGTGTTTGGTCACCAACGAAGACAGATGGGTTTTGCTGCACTTTGAGGGCCAGCAGTAATGAACTAATTAAACCCATCTGCACATATCAGTTTAAAGAATCATAATCATTCTATTAGAATTACTAAGTATGAGTACACATTTCTTCAGTTAAAATACATACATTAGCCCAGTGATTTTCATAACCTTAAAAAAATTATCTCCAGCAAAGCTTAAGAAGAACAGGGAATCTCCCAAGTTTCCAAAACTCTCGAACTTACCCCAGAGCAATTTCTCTTACTTCCTGTTCCTCTTGTGGGCCTCACACACAGGAAATGTTTTACATAAAGTAGCCTTAACAGGGGATAGTATTTAAAATTATCCAACAGAAAAAGCAGTTTTATTCAGCAAGAATTATCGATTTCTGGAATATTGTAGTAACTCACTTGATAACAAATACCACATGAAACAAGCACCAACAGTATTTAAGAATTTTTATTCAAGAAATGTGCAATATACTTCCAGTTCACACACACCCCCCTCAATAAATTATCGTATCTTAAGCTTCATTCTCTTGTCCTATGTCAGCCTGAAGTAGGGGATTAAAACTTTTCTCATTTCTGAAAGAATAGGCAATAAAGCCTTTCATAAAAATTACTTTTTACATGGAATGGGATAATTCCTACGCAATAAGGGGAAAAATTAAGCAGCACAGTAAAACCTCTAGGTCATTTTCCAAAGCAGCATTTCCCATAGGAACTCCTCGTGTACTTTAACAAAGCAACTTATTCAAACGGGATCATTCGAAAAGCACAGCTACGTATCGTTTTAGGTAGGAGAAGCAGACAGAAGCAGCCTGTAACTAGAGAGACCACTCACTGCCAGCTAGACAAAAATGTGAAACCATTTTCAGAAGCAGCTTTTGAAGTTTCAACAGGAGACAGCTTTCACAGGGTAAACAGAACATGCACCAAGAGCTTCAAAAGATAAGGGATCATTAAGACTCATATGTTATACTAAAATGTCTACAGTAAAATAACAACTATTTATACACAGTAAATCAGCTTTCCTAGGAAATACGGTGACAACAGCTGATAACAAACTGATTTTTGCCATCAGAATGTATGATCTCACATGCTGAAGATTTTTTTTTAAATATCATTCAACATGACAAGCAACTTGTTAAAAGAAGCACAGCAACCTGAACTGCACCCTGGACTGTAAAAATTAATAATATACACGATTTGGGGGTTTTTTTTTAGATGAAAACAACACTGAGACACCACCTTTCCAGTGTGTAAAAAAACCAGACATGTGACTACGCCTAATTCTCACCAGACTAGTGTTCCGAGGCAAGAAGCGAGGAGGCACTAATTTGGGCTTCCCGTACTTAAGGCTCCGGGAAAACAAACTGCTTACTTGGAGGCGTTAGGAAGTATTTTAAACAAAAATCAGATCACTAAAGAAAATACGCTATATGAGACAAGAGAAATATGGAAACCTCATTTCTGACAGAGTTGCTTTGATAAAACAGTTTTAAAGCAAACACTTCTGAAGCGAGACACCGGATGAAGTGGTGATTAAAGAGAAATCAATGCTGCCCAAGATAAAAGAGTTGCTCTCTAGAAAGAACTACACGAGTCAAACAGTCAGGAGGAAAGTTTTATCTCGAAGGAGTTCAGACCTGGACAATAGAAAGAGGAGGGAGCACGAGAACAGCTCTGCTCTACCGCTGCAGCTTTACCTATGGCTCTCAGGTAACACTGCAATGGAAACCTTACTTCTAGCGAGCTTCCCGGCGTGCCCGAAGGCGTTACAGCTCCTTGGAAACTGATGCAAAACTTGCGCTGATCGAAAAACTGCTCACAAAAGACAATCCAGCCAGAACCCCCCCGCTTCCC